GGGCTGCAGGGAAGGAGGAGCAGAGCGAGGAACTGGCTGAACTCGTTACTCTGGTGACATTCAGAAGGGTGGCTGCCGAGTGGCGTGTCAACCGTCATGTCCAGTCTTTCAGGAATGCAYCCAGGATCGTCATGGAGCAGTCGTTAGGTGAATCACGGCACGGACACGAGCATTTAGCCGGGATTTCCAGCCCAAGCCASCCGTAATTGCATATTAGCGGAGGGATGCTCAAAGCCATCAGCCTCTSCAGCCACGCCGGCTGCAGGGGGAAGGGAGGAGGGCTCAGGGGTGTCCGCACGCCCGGCCCCTCCTGGGATTACAGGGCACAAATATAGGGCACAAAAACAGCCCGGGGAGCGCGGGGCTGCTCCTTTGAGGCACGGTGACACCGCTCCGGCCGGGCCCGGGCTGCGATAGCGGCGAGATAAGGAGGGCAAACACGGTAAAAACACCAAATACACCAAACACACCAAACACACCGCGGGGCTGCGCAGGGCACGGATCGAACACCCCGAACACCCCGAGCTGTGTCCCCGTCCCGTGTCAGCGATGGGAACGGCTCTGCCACAGAGCGGAGCGAAAATGCGAGTTCTCACCTGCACGGAGAGAGAGATAACACATCTAAAATGTCACATCTCACACTCACACCGCCCTGCGCCTCCCTGGGCGCCGCTCCAGAGCCACCGTCCCGTCCCCTCTGCCAGCCCCGTCCCCTGTGCCAGCCCCGTCCCCTCTGCCAGCCCCGTCCCCTGTGCCACCCCGTCCCCCCGGGAATGTCACCAAGTCCCCTGGGCATGGTTGGCATTGCAGGGTTGGGGCTCAGCAAGGACGCCCCGTCCTTGGCCGATCTCACGGCTCCGTTGTGCAACACCTCAAGGCWGCGCTGATGATTTCTTTTCCTCCTTTTCTAAGGAAACGCCTCTGCAGCAGCTGTCARTCATTCCTGTGAATACCTCGGGATGCCAGCACAGGATTTCAATCAAATTTGTCACGGCCATCGTGTTTCTACAAGCTGGAATGTGTGTCCGGGYTCGGGGATCCACCCAGCTGAGAGAACAACTTCCACCCCAGCTCGGCCACGTGTGGCTCATTCCTGCAAGGAAARGAGCAGGGGAGAGCAGGAATCCGGCACGCTGGGATTTTGGGGGAAGCTGGAATGCTGCGGGGCAGGGAGGAAGCTCTGCACCAGCTGATCTCTGCTTGTGATGGCTCAGAAGGGAAGGGAATGCCTGAGCTCCTCATTCCAGGCCGGATCCAAGGAGTGAGAGAAGGTGTTTGTCATGAAAATCATGGAGCTGTCAGCCAAAGTCCGTGGCAACCTGTATTTGGAGCTGGACAGTGCAAATACCCCATGTACAGAGAAGAAAAGAAAAAGCTTTTCAAAGGTTCCTCCACCTGTGCACACAAAAGGTTYTACACCCAGGGGGTGGCTGGGCATGGACCAGCTCCCCAGGGAAGTGGACATGGTACAGAATCTGCCAGAGGCCAGGAAGCGTTTGGCCAACACTCAGAGACACTTTTGGGGCTGTCCTTGATGGGCTGTGGGGTTCCCTGGATGGGCCGTGGGGTTCCCTTGATGATCTGTGGGGTTCCCTTGATGGGCTCTGGGGTTCTCTTCATGGGCTGTGGGGTTCCTTTGATGGTCTGTGGGGTTCCTTTGATGATCTGTGGGGTTCCCTTGATGGGCTCTGGGATTCCCTTCATGGGCTGTGGGGTTCCCTTGATGATATGTGGGGTTCCCTCAATGATCTGTGGGGTTCCCTTCCAGGCCAGGCCATTCCAGGGCTCCAGCAGGAGCACAAATGCTGTTTTTGGAGCAGAGCAGCCCGAAGCAGAGCCGGCAGCAGGCCCAGGAGATAAGATCGGGGGTCAGTGCCACAGCAGAGTCCCGCACATTTGTCACCCCTGGCCATCCCCCGCAGGCTCGGGGCGGTTGTGCCATCCTCGGGCAGCTCAGAGTGCAGAACCCTCGGGGAACGGGCACATCAATGGAGCGTTTGTCCCGTGCTTGGCACCGGAGCGAAAGGAGCCGCGTGCTGAGCCCGAACAGGGCTATAAATGGCAAACACAGCCACACAGACAGACTGTTCTCTCCAGCAGCAGCTTCACACCCGCGCTGCCCCGCCGGCTCCGCGACCACGACGAGGAGGAGGAGAAGGGCAGCCAGGGAGAAACGCTGGCGCGCTGCAAGGAAAAGCTCAATAGAGAGATTAAAATAAAATTGAAATGCCGTGCTGGGTCTAGCGAGCCGCCTGCACAGAGCTGGTGCCACCCTCGGCACGGCGCCAGCAGATTAAGGATGGCTGGGAGCAGGAGGGCTGCAGCAAGATGCTTCTTGCATGCTGGAGTCAAGACAAATTCCTGCCGTTTGAGCGAGCTTGGAGCACGGCCAGGTGTCCTTCCAGGAGAAAAAGCCGCAGCTGGAAAAGCCGCACGGGGTGATCTGCGCTCCAGGGCTGAGGAGGTTTGGCTCCATCTCCAGCACGGATCAGCCACAGCTCAGAGCAGAGCACGTGTGGCACTGACCAACAGCTCCAGCTCTGCCCCTGAGCCCGGCACTGCCCACAACACCCAGCTAAATATAGGAACGGCATTTATGGACAGTTACTACAAGGAACAGCCACCCCACACGCAGCCGGCCTCAGCAACGCTCCTGAGCATCACAGGAATCCACCAGAACCCATCCTGACTTATCCACTGCCCCCTCTGTCAAAGGGGAAAATAATGACAGACTACAGGCTGTGAGAAAATATATAGGGGTTATTTTTATTTGACATTTAACAAAAGAGGGATCGGAATCTCAGCTGYAAACATTGATAGGTCCCTTCTGATCACAACGAGTACTTTCCACCAACATCCTTTTGTACGGTCTGATCCGCTCCAACAATGCCCAGCCGACTCTGTCAGGGCTTTTGCTGCTCTGCTCAGGGTCACAAATCCACTGGCAGCTTACTCACCACAGCACCARCAGCAGCAACAGCCACCCACACTGAACTGAAGACAGCTCAGGGTCTCAGACACTCCAGAGCCGTTTCCACACGTGGGACACACTTGGGAAAGGCAGGAGATGGTGCTGGGCTCGTGCCAGAAAGGGAAACATCTCTAAASCCAGCTAGAAATGAGCTCTGCAAAGGCAGAGGCTGCTCCAGCAGGGACAGGGACTCTCACAGTGCCAGCCCAGCAAGAACATCCCAGCCCTGTTGTCACAGGGAAGCTCTGGCCCGGGACTGTAAAAATTGGGAGATGCAGAGCCAGCAAGTTTGTCCCAAAGAGGGACTGGCACATCGTCAGCTCCATTGTTGCMGTGGAACCAGAACTGCCTGGAGCTTGACAGGGGGAAGTGAAACTTCATCTCAGGCTGGAGGGCAGCCAGGGCTGGAGGAGCTGCAGCCAGTGCCAGCCATCCCACGGGAATCTGGCCTGGACATCAGCAGAACTCGGCTTTTCTGGGAGACAAACCTTCCCCTGCTCCAACAGGAGCCACTGCAGTGGGGCAAACACACACCAGAACYGAGTCTAAACTGCTCCAGACAGCTCTGGCTGCTCCCAGGAACCAGCAGGGAATGAAACCCCAGAAAAGCAGGAGGGAGAATGTCCCAGAGCCACCCCCACCACAGGGACCTCATGGTGACGCTTACGGCCACCCTCCCCCTCCAGCAGCACCAGGAGAAGGGAAAATGCACAACAGCAAAGAACAGATTATAAATGGAAACCTCCCTCAGCACCTCCTGGGACTCAGAGAGCACCKGGGCACATCCACAACCCCGATCTCAGCTCACCCCATTCCAGCTGCTTCCTGGGGTTTGGTGGGAGCAGCATCATCTCCTCATCACTCTACCCGGATGGACAAGCAAATAAAAATAATCCAACAATTTTGAATACACTGTATTTATTCGTAACAGATTCTAAAGAATCTAGTGAGTCTATGTCAAGCCCATTGCATGACAAGTGATACAAGTGTAGGAAAAAAAAGACATTTAAAACAAACAGAACAACAACAACAAAAAAAAAAATCAAGTGCCATTCAAGCTACTGGAATCTTCCAACTGCCCCCTGACAGGAGGCAGCACAGTATCACTGCAAGGTCTAGAAAAACTCAGGTTCAACCAATTCACAAGAGTCCCACCAYGCACACTCTAGAAATCCAAAGTGCAATCTCAATGTAAGTCACCCTGTCGAGCTGTTTGTTGGTTGTAGGGAATCTTTCAGGACATCTCGAAGGGAAGGAAGGAATCTCAGTTTAGTGTGTCTGTGGGTAGGAGCAGCCTGTAAAAAACATGCTACATGGCAACTATGTTCAGCTTAAAACGCAAGAAAAAAACCTCATCTTCCTTGAAGCCACCRAGGGAGCACACTTGTGCTCCCAGAAGCAGCCCTTAAACCAATTTTACCTTGCATCAGGAAATCTCAGGCTCCCATCACAGGGATGGGGCTCTGGGGACTGATGGGGCTGGTGAAGGCAAAGCTGTTGKGAGAGGGGCAGCTAAAATCCTGCACTAACTGCACTGTCAGTGCCACTGCCCCACTGCAGGAGCAGAGCTGCAGCAATTCCAGCTGAATTAGTGCTGCTAAACACGAGAGCCACCCCCACCCTTTACACCCCTCCACATCGCCCCTACCCCAAAGAAGGTACCAATCTGGCTATAAACATTCTAGTCTTTATTTCAATCTGCCCAACTGTTACAGTTTTGTCACCAAAACAGGAACAAAAGAACAAAAACAAACAACAAGTTAGTAAAGGTTCTCGAGTAGGTGGCCTCGGAGGAAGCACCAGGGAGTTGTGGTGTTGCTGGAGCAGCATCCCTGGGCAGTGCCTGCCCCTCCCTGCCCACATCAGGGGCACAGCAGCCCTGGCACCTCCGTGAAAAACTCCTCTGCTCCAGACACCCAACTTCAAAACCAATTGAACTGAGAGGCAAACCCTCAAAACATCAGAGGGTCTGTCTAGAAAACAATTTATTTTCCTAAGGCCTGACTAACTTCACCCACGCCAGCCCAGGCTCCATTTCTAGCTAGAGAAAGAATTTCAAATGCTATCAGTGGCTCACACAGCTGGGAAYAGGCTGATTTGAAGACAGGACCTGTCCAAGGGATATCTCCAGCATGGAGAAGGTCTGTCCACCTCCCTGGAGGACACAGCAAAGGCTGGAAATGACTGACCTGGATGGTTTGTGCTTCAAAGGACAAGCCTCACCTTCCCCGACAGCCCAGCTGAACTCTGGCTTTGTGCATCAAAAACACACTGCATGCCAAAAAAAAAAAAAAAATAAAATAGGAAGAGCAGCATTTCAAATTCCCCTAGAAAAGACAGGATTAGGTATGGCAGCCTGGGACAGGCTCCTGGACAAATCACCTCCCTCATCATTTAGGAACTCAGCTATATCCTGCTGCCTTTTTTCCAGCAAGCTCTGCACAGCATTTTCCACCATGCTCCCCCTGCCCAGCGTTCCTCACTTTGGGCATTTCCACTCAGCCATTCCATGGTTTGTGCAGCCCCACTTGGGCACCTCTCTGCTCCACTGGTCCTTCACAGGCAGCAGTGACACCCAAACCCTGCCACACAGAACCTGCTCTGGCCTCAGCCAGGATAAGAAATGATCTGGCGACCCTCCCCACGCACAACAGAAACGTTTTCCTCTTCAGACATTCCCCACTCAAGCTTTGGGCCGTCAGCCCTCGCAAAAAATAATAAAGGTTTACAGTACAGTTGTGTTTGTATTGTTACAGGCACTTAAACAGGATTCTTTGGTCCTTCAAAGGAATTAGCCACTCTGGCTTCTCTCGGCAGAAACCACAAGTTTGCACACCCATAACACCTCCTGCACTAAAAAAAAAACCAACACAATGCAGATCCATTTCAGGGCAGTGCAGCTCTACCTTAACGTAATTCTACAGTCTCCCCTCACACACCCCACCCACCCCAGCCTCCACAATTCCCTAGGGAGTCGTTTCCAGAACACTGCACCTCCCGTCACAGTGTACAGCAGACAGGCCTCGCTCCAACACCTCCAGGAACGAGACACTCAAGCCAGAGTCCAGGAATTTCCTCTTGTTGCAGTTCTAGAAGGCTGTAGGTTTTATTTCTTTCCCCCTCCCCACCCTCCCAACCCCCCAAGGCAAGGAGTACCTTGGAGGACAGACCCTGGCGTTAGTCCTGGCTCAGTTACAGGGAAGCCACGTGGGGTAAGACTGATTGCAAGGCAGGAAGGGCTGCACGTGGGTCACGTAGTAGTTGAAGTTTATTTCACTGACATAAGGGGCTGGCTGGTAGTAGCAGGTGACATTTGTGACGGTGGGGATGATGTTCTGCTCAGCCAGGACCCTGACAGCCAGCATGGCAATGAGGTTCAGGGTCTGCCTTCGCTCGTGTCCCATGAGGCAGACCGTGCTCTCATTGACCACCCTGTGCAGGGTCATCAAATAGTCATATCTGTTGCTCTCCATGCCCACAAAGTGGCTCTGCAGGTAACACTCCAGCTTCCTCAGCTGCTCGCCGATGTCGGAGAAGTCTATGAAAAACCTGGAGCACATGTACCTCTGCAGGGCCTTCATATCCACCTCGGACTTGGGCTTGAAGCCCCTGACCAGGAGGTTGCAGTACTTGAGCAGCCCCCCGCCGCGGATCTCCTCGGGGTTCCTGGTGGCGATCACGCGGTTGCGCAGGTGCTCCATGGCCTCCTCGAAGTCCCCGTACATGCTCTCCCCGGTGACCGTGGGGTGGAAGTTCTCGGCCATGGGGGTCTCCGAGCACTCCCCGAAGAGCAGCAGCGAGTCCAGGATGATCTGGAAGGAGTCCACGCTGAACTCGAACTGGCGCCGCAGAGAATCCACGAATTTGAGCTCCACGTTCTTGCCGCTGTTGTTGGAGAGCGAGATGAGGCTCCAGCGGTCGGTCTCGTTGCAAACCTTCACCAGCTTCTGCACGTAGGCCTCCTTCAGGGTCATGGGGGTGATCTTGTCCTTGTTGACACCTTCAGGGAGGAAATCCAGCAGGCAATCCATCACCACATCTTTCACCAGCTGGAAAACGTCCTCCGTCTTCAGATCCACGCCGAAAATCAGGTCCAGGTCCTTGTAGCCCAAGCCACTGTCCTGGTGGAGGATGTGGCTGGCAGCTGAGCCATTCAGCCTGACGTTGTGCACTGGGATTCCTTTCTTCTCCAGGCGGCTGCGGACAACCTGAGACAGAAASAGAGGCAGTGAGAGCCAAGAAGGAATCCTTGAGCAGCCTGGGGACAGCAGGATTCACTCCCAGCGCTTATATGGGTCACTCCAGTGCAAGACAGTGAAATAAAAAGCTAATCCATTGGAAATAGGTCACTTTGGAAAGCATCCCGAGGGCTGCCAGCACTGGGGGCAGCTCTCCTTTGCTGAGTCGCTGGCATTAGAGGGATCTGCCTGCACATGATCAGCAGTGCTGCTTCCAGGGCACTGTCTGCTCTCCCTGCCTTCCCCACACCCACCTGGACACGTTACCTGACCCCCTTTTTTGGGGTGGGCTCTCTCCTCTTCCTCCCCTCCTGGCTSCAGCCACCAAGCCAAGACCAGTGCACCCCAAAGTGACCCCAAAGAGGAGGTGGCAGCACAGTTTGCAGCAGTCCCYGTGGATTTAATCAGGGTGGCTCACTCCTTTGAGCCATCCCCTTCAGCCTGTCAAGATTCATTAAAGGCAAATCAAGATGCCAGAGCAGCTCAAAAGCCCCAGCCAGGCCTGTGCAAGTTCATGTCCCAACTAGTAAGTGTATCCTAACAATTTCCAGTGTGTCAGAGCTTCATGCTGAGCTTGGCGTGCTATCAAGCACAGGAGGCAGCTTTCATCTTACGGGTGTTACGCCGGTGATTTTAATGCTGCCTGCTCAGTGCTGGCACACCCAGCAGCCCCTCCAAAGCTTTGTTCATTTACAGGGAAGCTGAATCACCTGCCTGATTACTTAACAAGCAGCAGGCTAAAATAACCCCCAAGACCATAAAATAAACTATCTGGACACAAGCTTATAATTTGAGTTTAACTCAGCTCAAAGATCCCAGGAAGATTAGATTTACACCTTCCAGCAGAAGCCCTTCCCACCTCTCATCCTGCTTTCATGTTCCCCTCCAGCCATTTCCCATTTTCTTGGGAGTCCCAAGCAGCAGCCAGCCTGGAGCAAGGTTATGGCTTGGAAGAGATGAAGAGATGAAGCGTGGGGCACAAATGGACAAACTGGATCACWGAGAGCCAGTCTGACTGGGCCCTTCGGCCCTGGGAGCCTGCCCTAGTCTGAGAGGGCCCACAAACTCTGCGTTTTGGCAGCCCAAAATGCGAATTTTAATTCAAAACTTTATCAGAAGGGCCAGTCCTCTTGGCTGAGGTGGCCCTGAGCAGTTCTGGGGCAGACTGGAAKCACTGCAGCTCTGTCTCAGCAGCTGTAAAAGTGCCCCTCTCTCTGTGAGTTTTGTTTGGAAGGAAGAACACAGGAAAGGTCAGGGACTGTGAAATCCTCATCCCATCCCAGACCCTCGGTGACCGAGCCAAGGAGTCACCAGCAGGTTCTGCTGCCTTTGCAAAAGCCTCTCAGAACAAACCATGGATGTTTTCACACCTGGAAGGTTGTTAAGGCTCACGAGGAACCTTCTCTGGTGGTGCTTCCCCTGTCCCTGCCATGAGCCATCCCTGCTGGGGCTGGGATCACAGCTGGGCTCCTCGCCAGGCCAGTGGTGACTGTCACATGTCAGGCAACAGTTCACCAGGCAACTATTCACCACTGGGAGCCCCAATCCCACCAGCACAGCCAGTCCAGCCACTSAAAGAAGTTGTTTTCCAAGGCAGGTAGATTGAAAAAATTATTCTGCTCCTGGAAGACACACAGGGTTATTGCCCCAAATGGAACAGACATCACCCAGGGGACCCAGGGGACCTCCTGCTCTGCWTTTGGTGCCAACTGGAGTCACTCAGCCGGGGCACGGCTCCAGCACTGCTCGTGGAGTTGGAGTTTTGTGCTCCCAGGCTTAGAGAAACAAGATATAGGTCACTAAGTGATAGATGCAGAGCTGGGCCYGGTGCTCGGAGAAGATCTCGTTCCAGATTAATTTCCTAACCCCAAAGAGCATCTGCTTAACCCCCTTCCGGGCACAGCTCGGACCTGCTTCAGGCCAGACCCATAAGCTCCAGGTTTACTCGAGTTCCCCAGCTCTGTCCCTGTGAGATGAGTTCAGGAAACAGAAAAAGCCCAGCTGCTCAGGTCAGCTTTGTCCCAAATGATCCCAACCCACAGAGCAGCAGGAGCAGAGCCCTTTGCCATTCCCCAGAGCTTCCACCCACCAACCTCCACCCCGAGCTCGTCCCCCCTGGCTGCAGCAGTGGGTTCAGGGTGCATTTTTGCCCAGAGGGTTGGATATTTGCAGGGTTAGCCAGCTGCTGACCTGCTTCCCAAAACAGCAGCTCACCTTCCGTGTGGTTGGGATAATTGACTCTGACAGCCAGGCAGGAGCAAATCCTGCTGCGTCCTGACCTGCCGCTTCCCACCTCCCACAACAACAACAACAGGATAAATAACTGCCTTTTGGGTTACTTGTTCCAGCTTAGTCAGCCCTAAACACAGGGTCTGCCTGCACAATTACAGCCCTCACTTATCCCGTGTTTGAAGTTGCTACGGGCAGCATCCTTTTGGGCAGCYCTGCTGAAGCACCGAGGAATATCTGCTGGAATATTTGGGGCTGCCCTGGCCCAGTGCAGAGCCTGCAGCTCTCATCTGTCATTCAGCTCAAAATCCGGCGCTTCTGCCCCCAACAGACGCGGCAGAAACTCGAGGAATTCCAAACCAGCCTTTCAAATGTCACCTTTCCATCTCCCGARCTATTTCTCAAGCAGCTGAGGCTCCAAAATCCCGGTTATTGTGAAAGCCGGTTGGGTTTTAGCACCGTGAATAGGCTTTTTAATTAGAAGCCAACATGCCCGATTTTACATTTGATGAGTCATTACTGAGGAATGAAGTCGCCTCCCAAATATGAATATGCATCAGCTCATTCGAACTACATTGTTAGTTTAATATTAAACACAGTTATTACTTGATGGCTAAACTAACAGGAGCTGGTGAACGAGCTGAAGTCTCCAGCAGGCTCTGGAGGATTCTGCCAGCGGTGCCCAGAAATCAAAGGACACAGACATTTGATCTGGCCTTTGAATTAATAACTCTGCCACTTCCAACACGAGTCCAACATGTCCACCTGCACAAAGCCATTTCGTGGAAGCAGCTCCAAAAAAAAAGCMCTTTTGCCCTGGCCACACACATTCCACTGCTTTTTAGGACAACATATTCATTCAAAAAGAGGAGGAACAATGTGAGAGGGAAGGAAGCTGAGCAGAATCCATGGCACAAGCTGCAGCAGCTCCAGGCATGGGGCATGAATTTTAAAGACATGTGAGCTTTTCAGAAGGGTCCTTCCAGCTTCAGACATTCCTGCTGTGGTTGCTGGCAGTGACCAACCCCACCAGGACCCCCAGGAAAGGGAAATGGGGTGAGCTGAGCACACAGCACCCCCGGATGAGGGGGCCCGGTGCCCCCAAAGCTTTTAACAGCCCATGGAGCAGCCAGGCCAGGCTGGACAGGACMTGGAGTRMCCTGCTCTAGTGGAAGTGTCCCTAATGAGACGCCTTTCCCGGGTTCCAGGCCCGCCMGAAGTGAAGCAGCATTTGGACAATGCTTTGGGACACCGTGCGATTTCTGGGGGTGTCCTGCGCAGATCCAGGGCTGAATTCCTTGTGCCCCCCCAGCTGAGGGCATTCCACGATCTCCGGTGCCTCCCAGGCCGAACATATATATATGTTACATACAATACATACAATAGCTCCGTGCTCCCCGTGCTCCCGGGCCCGCAGCGGCCGCTGTGCCCCGGGCCCGGCGGGGGGAGGCCGAGGTGCCCGGCCGGGCTGGCTCGGGGCCCGACGGGCCGCTTATCGCCGCCTCAGCACTTTTATTTTCTCCCTGACCCCCGCTGGAGCGGGGCAGAGTCCAAGGGGCCGAGGGAGCAGGGCCCGCACCCCCGCASCCCCGGGCCCGGCGCTCACCTGCACGATGGTGCGGGGCCGCACCGACAGCGTGGGGAAGTTGCCGCGGCCGTGGATGGGCACGGCCTCCCCCAGGATCTGGTCCAGGCGCTGCACCTGCTCCCACGTCAGGACGCTGAAGCGGCTCCCGCGCTGCTCCTCCGCGCCGCCCGCAGCGGCCCCCGCCGCCGCCGCCACCAGCATCGCCCCCGCCGATCGCCGCCGCAGGAGGAGCCCTCAGCCGGAACCGCCCGCAGAGCCGCCGGAAGCGCCGCCGCAGAGGGCAGCGGGAGGAAAATTCAAAAATAGAGGCAAAAGCAGGAAAAAAAACAACAAAAAAAACCAAACGACAAAGCGCAAGTGGCGCCGGCGAGGGGCTGCGCGGGGCGCGGCGGGAGCGCGGTCGGTGCCCGCGAGGACTCAACAGACGCAGCCCCGGCCGCCCCCCGCCCGCCCTCAGCACCAGCGAGCGCTGCGCCCGCCCGCCCCCCGCCGCGCCTTATATAGCCCCGCTCCGCGCCCCATTGGCCCGGCCCCCAGCCAATT